CAATATGGAGATGTGGCAGTAACCTCTATCAATACAGTCAACAGGTTGGAGGGAAAATATGTTAAGACGAAGTGTAACCTCAGATTCCTGATGCGATGCAGAGACAACAACATCATCCCCAAAGGTCTACGCCTCAGTTTTTGCAGAATAAACCCCTTTGATCTTGTTGTTGTCCTGTATGGTTTCATGAATTGTTGTTACAGTTTTCTGTATATATTGATCTCATTATTCTTGTATTACTGTATTAGCTTGATAACGTTGAGAGAATACTCTTCGAAACGTCGCCCAAATAAATAAGTAGCTGTTTTTCCATAAGTATGTGTTTTTTGTGTATTGCTCTACCCAGTTACTAAATGCCTCTTAAAGATTATTATCGCCATCAATATGGAGATGTGGCAGTAACCTCTATCAATACAGTCAACAGGTTGGAGGGAAAATATGTTAAGACGAAGTGTAACCTCACATTCCTGATGCGATGCAGAGACAACAACATCATCCCCAAAGGTCTACGCCTCAGTTTTTGTAGAATAAACCCCTTTGATCTTGTTGTTGTCCTGTATGGTTTCATGAATTGTTGTTACAGTTTTCTGTATATATTGATCTCATTATTCTTGTATTACTGTATTAGCTTGATAACGTTGAGAGAATACTCTTCGAAACGTCGCCCAAATAAATAAGTAGCTGTTTTTCCATAAGTATGTGTTTTTTGTGTATTGCTCTACCCAGTTACTAAATGCCTCTTAAAGATTAGCTATAACAGGGTTCAGAATGAAGTAATTTGAACGAAATTTTCAATATTTTCATTTTGCATTATCTAAATTGGAACTATTATAACAAGAAAGAATGACCAGCTCTTTGTCTAAATCTTACATAATGTATCTTTAATAATTCATACATTTTATATCATTTTGTATCATTTTATATCATTTTGTATCATTTTGTATCATTTTGTATTATTTTATATCATTTTATATCATTTTGTATCATTTTGTATCATTTTTATATAATTCCTCTCTTATTAAAATAATTAAATTTATCATCTTTTTGTTCGAACATTTCATAATTTCTTTGTATTAAAATAATCATCGTCTTTTGGTTTAAACATTTCCTACAAAAGTACAACGAAAAGTAACTGGTCCCTTATTTTCTATATTTGTTTAATAATTCATACATTTATATCATGCATAATTTCTCTGTATTAACCCGTTAAGCATGACGTTTTTAAAACATTAACTACCCCCTATTGTGTAATTAATTTGACGAAGTGACGAAGAACTATGTACTATGTTCTAAGAATAGGTTGGGAAAATACCTCCAAGGCGTTATATTACGCCCTACACACAGTGAGCGGCAGTTGTCCAGGACGTTATATAACGACCTATGCACTTAACGGGTTAAAGATGCCTTATGTAAGATTTCGATAAAAAGCTGACAGTTTTTGCAATAATAGTTTAACAATAGATAATGTAAAATAAATATAACTAAAATTACAATATTCTGAGTGATTATTCATTTAAATTACTTGCAATAATAGTTTAACAATAGATAATGTAAAAAAAATATATCTAAAATTACAATATTCTGAGTGAAGTTATGACTGTTTCAAGCTGTAGCGTAGATTGTTTATTATCGTAGCAATGGTACTGGACAAATGAGACTAAGTTTTGATTATTCATTTTATTGTTAAATTTGTAAATTTCTGCCATCATATGGTCAAGATAAATAAATAAATCTGATTGATTGATTAAAACATTACCATTTTTCAGCCATATCTAAATGTCTTGAAGTATTCATTACATTTATTTCATTGTGTTATTAAACATTTAGGTCCATCATCATGCCCAACAAATGAGAATGAAATGAGGGTGTAACGTCCTACTTTCTGCACCGACTGGGCATACAGTGTGCTATGAGGGAAATTTTGCCCAGACAGCAGCGCTATAGCCTATTCATATTTCGAATTTCAACTGTCAAAGCTCTTTTACATGTATGCCAATGTGTACCCGGGGACCTTGGTTTTTTGACCCATCCGAACGCTTGTATATTCCGGGCCCTTAGTCCTGCCCCACTAACAAAGATAAAACAAGCTGGAAGATCCTGAGGAACTTTCTTGGACAATACAAGGATCGAGTACGAGACCTCCTGTTTACTTACTGAGCCACCGCAGTTCCCCCCTGTCCAACAAATGAAATGAAATCGGGTTTAACATCCTACTGTTCTGCTCCGACTGAGCTAATGATTACGGGCATACACCATACAGCGTGCTATGAGGGAAATTTTGCCAGGCAGTGGCACTATGGCCTACTCTTATATCAAATTCCAACTGTCAAGGGATCTTTTACATGCACGCCAAAATATACACGGGACCTCGGTTTTTCGTGTTATCCAAACGACTAGACAGCTGTCCTTGTCAGGCCCTCCATATCCTGCACCACTGACAAGGGGTAATGTCAGCCAATGCAGGGATCGAACACCCAACTTCCAGGCTAGAGTACCAGCATCATACCCATTTAACCACCGTGGCTCTCCCTTGCCCAACAAACATAAATTAGTTTTAAAATATGGAAAATGATACACAATAATAAATCATATCAAGATAATATTTACTGCGGAATAAAGCCAATAAAAGGTTGATAAAAATGAACAGGGTTTGAAAAATGATTTTAAAAGAGATACACTATCACTTTGTGTAATAAAAAAAGTGTGAGTTTATTCTAAATAAAGAGAGTCTTGTAAAAGGAGCGTTCACCGTCATGCTTTCAGGTTGTTAAACTCTATCTGATTCTAGTCTCTCGTCATCATTGTGCAGTTTGTGGACAATATTTAATGGTTCACAGCTTAATCCATGCGGAAATGTATTTAAATAAGTAAAAAAAAGCCAAATCAAAACACCAACAGTAGATAATATCCTAGCTTGGAGAACATCATAAGTGGTAGCTTGTGTTGAGTATATGTGTATATATATATACTGTTCAAAGTGAATATCGTATCTTGTGGGGGGTGGGCAGTTTATTTACAGTCGATAATTCATTTTACAATAACAAGCTTTAAAATCGTTCCATTTAAACATACATTATGCAAGAGCTATATCTGCCAAGTGCAGGTCTTTCTTTAGGTCTGAAATGTTTTCTAAATTATTAATTAGAGATTAATTAACTGATCCAAGCCATAATCAACTCTCGATGGCATCAGATTTCTTCGATATTAATAGATTAGAATGGTTCAGCCATATTTTAATTTAATCTAAAAATGGAAGAGCCAGGCTTAGCTTCGAACAACCAGTACGGTGGCTGAAATTATTGCACACATCTTGTCAAACCTTCAAAGGCTAATATCTTCGCTCGCAATCGAGTAATTGGAATGAAATTTTGAAATTATTCATTTTACATCGTCTATTTTTGAAATTTTATAGCAAGAATGGCTAACTCTTTATCTAAATCTTACAGAATGTATCTTTAATTGTGGATTAATGTACGTCACAAAGAAAGAAAAACAAAACTCCCTTATCAATTACCCCTTCTTCATTAACCCAATCGATACAGAAGATTAGAATGTTAAACCCAATTTCATTTTTTTCATTTTACCGAGATTTATATATCTAAGTGATAAAGAAATAAGAAAAACAAACTCTCTCTATTGTCAAGAGATGTTCAAATCAATAGTCCCATGGCAATTTATTATTTTGTTTCAGACAATCGTATTAAATTACTTCTGATACAGAAATAAAAAATCTAATTCTTTTAATAGCAATGTTTCATCGCGCGATGACTGTTGTTACAAACATGCAGACACATGCTCACACTTGTATACAAAATATCTACAACGATAGATTTCTATCAGATACAGAAATAAACATTAGGTTTATACAACAAGTTCAATCCATCAGGTTTTATACATCAAACAGCAGTAGCAGAAACGTAATCCAAGGGGAGGTTACTCAGTTCAAATAGCTAAAAACCTACGGCCATCTGTTCTTGTTTATGTAACTTGTATAAATTGGCAGAATTGGTAGTCTTTAAACATTGCCGTGAAGTCAGACCAGATCAGACCAGACCAGTATCGTGTTTTCATTATTTTTTAAAAGGTGGATTTATTGGTTTGGGAGCACTTCTGGTTATGAGATGTGATGCTAGTTTAGATCAGATCAGACCGGGGTTTATGTTATTTTTTAAAGGTTGGATATCTTGGTTTCGGAACACTTCTGGCTATAAATACAATTTGTTGAACAGGTGTTGTTGAGGGGTGGAGCAGTGTAAATAAACCATCAATTTAGTTATAAATAAATTCAATGCTTCGTTACTGGTCCCCGTCCCAACCCACCCCCCCTTCACTCAGGATATCACAGATCATTCCACGCCCCCCCACACACACTCCCCCGATATAAAAAACACATATCTGGTGATTGATTTTATCAGCAAAGGAATCATATAAATATTTGCCATAGATTGCTGGTTCCTCCAAATACATATTCTAGACAGACCTTTTTCACGAACAAAGATTCCATAAATAACAAGGTTATAGTGAGAAGTTCTCCCTAAATGAATGTTATAAATAGCTGATATATACTGGGTGTTAGTGAGAGCTCCACTCCTCCCCTAATCAAGATTATAGAGATTCCCCCCCCCCCCCCAAAACAACAAATCATAGTTATAACAAATCTAGAAAATATAATTTTTACTACAATTTCTGTTACAAATATTTGGTTTAAATAGATAGGCACATGATTATATATTTTGATAGAAACATACATGTATATATATAGAATAAAATATAAATATTATAATAAATATATAAATAACAGAATCTACAATCGATATATACATAAATATACATATAACAGGCCAATATGACAAATATATACATATCAAAACGACTCATTTACATATTATTACAGGTGACAAATATAATATATATTATTACAGGTGACAAATATATATATATATATATATATATATATATATATATATATATATATATATATATATATATTATTACAGGTGAATATGATAAATATATATACATGTATATATAACAAGTTAACATGACAAAAATAAATAAATAAATCAATAAGTAGAAAAACAATTCCTGGTTCAAATTAAAAGGACTGTTATTGTTGATTTTATACCATTTAAATCATTTAGCCTTCTCTATTGTCTCAAAAAACTATTTAAAATGTAGAGGACTTTTAAGGTTTCAATCATTAGAGAATGACATGGTGCAGTGATCAAGTGCTCCTAATGGAAACTTTAAGCTTTCTCTATAGTCTCAAGAAACTATTTGAATGTGAATATTCAAATACTTGTGTGAGCTCAATTTACTACCATCTAATAAAACACTGTAGAGCAGAACAAATCAGTAGGCTCTAAACAATGATATAGCATTAACTTTTATTTTGAGCTAAGACACATAAAAATGACAGCATGAAATCAACTGATACCAATGTAAACTTCAAATGGCCATAACCGAATTTAGAAATGATCAAGTCTAAAAACTTCAACTCTTGTCTAGAATGACTGTGGTTTCTAACAAGTTTCATCAAGTTGTGAACGTGAACGGGTGATTAGGGTGACAAAAGAACTATACATAAAAATCAAAGCAGAATAGAGTGCAAGCGACGATTATAACCCTCATGGTGCTAGAATCACCAGGGTAAAAACTGTTTTGATTATAATATGTTCTTTGGTATTTATATTGGGAGTATGATGTTAATGCTCTACAATCCTGTGTTTAATATACAACAAAATTTTCTCCACATTTCTCCCATAACTATAGACTTTCCTAAGCACAAGCGAATTATTGAAATAAAATTGAACCATATGTTAGTACTGAAATTCCCTGGTTTATGTCGAGTGGATGTTAAATCCCATTTTTCTCTCTGCATATTACTATATTTCACATGATACATAAAATTATCTATCATTAATATCACACACTTTTACATTTCAAACATTATATATATTCTATAATTTTAACCTATATCAAAAATATAACAAAATTATTTTCTTACAGTTGTAAACTTGTAAATCAGCATGGGCAAGGCATAAATTCATGTTTTGATATAATTCTAATATAAAAATAAGCATTTTAAATTTTCTAACTAATATCAAAAATATAACAAAATTTATTTCTTAACTTTGTATAGGCAAGGTGTAAGTTCTTGTTTTAATGAAATAAATAAACAGAAGATATCTGTAGGCACATTGGGTCAAATAATAATCGTCTTGGATATTCGTCAAATGATTATTTCGTCTGAAAAACATGTGCAGTATTAATAACACATGCATATACGTTGTTTTTAAGACTTAACTAATATATTTTTTGTGGGAACTACAATTGGTAACCCAGCTGTCACAAAATTAAAACTGAATAAATTTTGTTCTGATAGTGACTGATCGACTTCGTCATGAGTTGCTGCTTTCAAATCCTTGAACCAAGACAATACCTTATTGAACTGCAAACTATTCATGATAAAGGTCTAAAAATGACTTATATAAATGTGTTATACATATATACCGTTATATTACTGTGCATGTTTTTCAAATCAATTGCAATTTGACATATGGATCTACGTATGACTTCTATACAGGTTATTACTGCACATATCTTTCACACAAATAACAATTTCACATACAGAAACAATGTGAGACGAATATCCAGAGTTTTAGAGTGATTTCAGAATCTGTCGTCCACCAATGTTTCAAATATTATACTTTACCTAAACTCTAACCCTCATTCAATGCATGTTCCATACAGGTAAGGCACGTGGTGGACCGATTCTAAAGTCTAGCTAGAAATGTGGGCAAATATCAATTTGTTGTCATTTTAGCATTTGGACTAATCCGAAACATGCCTGTAACTAGAGCTCCTTATCTGTTTAATATTCCAGGAAAGATAGGCCATTTGTGAATGCATAAAAATACAGAAAGGAAATCATTAAAGATACATTATGTTAGAGCTATGTCTGACTATTGCAATTCAAATGTTATATTAATTAGTATTTAGACATTTATTCACATAACAAGGTGATAATCAACTCTCTAGATCATCGCATGGTTGTGATTTTGAACAGATTGAGACATGATCGCTTTTTAATTATCTAATTCAAAACTGGATATCCGATACTGTTTATCATCGTAACAATGGCATCAAGTTAGTAGCAGCTATATTTTCAAGATATGCATTTTTCATTATCTGTTTTTGAACTACATGTATTATAGCAAGAACGATCAGATCTTTACCTTAATCTTACATAATACATCTTTAACGCATGGTAACATCACGTCCAGATTTCATAAAGTAAATTATCTTTAACACATTTCAGAGTTCCTTTATATCTTCGTAAGAAATACGATTAACACGTCGCCCTGGCAACATCACACCCAGATTCCGTAAACGCATCAAATAGTCAGAATGAAACTGTCCATCAGTATAATCCAAGAATCGTTTATAATCGTCCTGCATGGCCGTAAAATCCTTTTCCACTTTAATCCTAAACTCTGTTTCCCGACGCCATTTATCTTGTAATATTTCGTAACGTTTATTCAGCCTTTCCACATGATCGGCATGTTTCGCTTCTTGCTGAGCGGCTCTGACGCTTTCTTCTGCGGCACAGATAGCTCTCGTTGTTTTGATTGTTTCCTGCTCCCGATGATCAAATTCGATGTTCGCTTGTTTCAAGGCCTCTTCCACAGCATTGTCTTTTTCAGCTTCGTGAACCTTTTCCAGTTCCAATCGCAGCTCTGCGCACGCTTTTTCTATCGCCCTTTCCTTGACTTTCTCCGCTTTTTTCCACTGTTGACGAAGTTCTTCTTGTTTTTCCAGATTTAATTTAACCATCAGGTCTTTCATCCGTTCCTCCTCCGCGCGATCTCTTTGATCCGAGATGCGTTGAGCAAGACGTTCAGCATACTCCTTTTGCTTCTGGAGAGCACAGTGCCTCTCTTCATCCTTCTGGTTTCGGAGTCTCGTGAGTGCAGCCTTCAGCTCACGTGTTGCTCGTACTTCAGCCGCATCAACTGCTTCCTGCACGGACCTCTCGAAGCCTTCCAAGTTATCGTCATTGTTTTTAGAGAGCATATCACCCCCAAGTGAGATAATATTGCCATGGGTGGCTCGCTGTGTTGTCAGGGTCGTTTTATTTAAAATTTTCTCGAGCGCTTCGTGTGGGTCTCGGAACCTTCTAATAGATTTAGCTGAAATACTTCTTCGTACAGGATTGTCATCGAGCACGTACTTGTGGAACGCCTGGTAAAATCGCTCCTCGGACGCCATTTTGACAGTTATCCGGAAGTTGACACTTGTAGTTGCTAGGTGAGAACGAGGAGATCTATAACTCACTGATCACTTACCTGTTCGCGGCTCATTACACGTCAAATATTGCTTAGCGACTTTATCGGTTTATCTCTCTGTTCGTTAACATATGTTTTGTCGACTTACCTTTTTAGTCTGTTCAGAGTTTTACTCCACCATTTGTTCACGTTCTACGTGGCCACGTTTGATGATGGGGCACTAACTGTCTCGTCAAACTGTCAACTTCTGGATTAAACTTGACCTTCATTAACTTGACCTCTAACCCAATAATCCCGTGAATCACTCAGCAAATAACGGGACGTTTTTTGAAACTGAGACATGAAACCGAGCAGGTTAATTAATAATCACGTTATCTAACTCTATACTTACCTGTGATTTGTGTTGCGGGTGCGTCGGCCACTTTTAACTTTTAATTACAGTTTGATTACGAAGAAAACGCGTGTCCGTTATACACAGGTGAATTTCTTTACTTTAAGCAGACGACATTTTGATCTCCGTGTTATCTTCACGGCTTATTTATTTGTTACCGATTTACATATATAATATGTATAGGCTATAAACGTAGTTTATTCGACGCGTGCTCACGTGACTGACAAGTATTATATATACGCTATACATATGGAAATAAATAGATATTTGCTGATATAATTGTTTGGTTATTTACTGTCTGGGGATAAGGAAGGGGAGCTCTTTAGATTTTTTTCAGAATGGATTGAAAATAAGAGAGAGAGACAGAGAGAGAGAGAGAGGGAGAGAGAGAGAGAGAGAGAAATGGGGTTTAACGTCCACTCGACACAAACTAGGTCATTTCGGGACTAACATATGGTTTTAAATTTTATTTCAATAATTCGCTTGCGCGTATAGTAGGGGTCTTTAGCAGTGGGAGGAAACCGATTGAAAATAACACTAATGACTGTTGATTGAAAATAACTTGAATGACTATAGAAAATAACACTATTGACTATTAACTGAAATAACACTAGATAGTATTAATTGAAATAACATTTTGACCGACAAATCTCTGATTACTGCCTGAACATATAAATCGTTTAATTTATTAATTTTATCCCAACTTCATTATTTGAATGGGGGGGGGGGCGAATAGTTAGCACGTGCGCGCTGTATCATAAGGTCTGCCATTGAGTCGACCGGCGTGGTTTCAATTCCCCAGTTGTACGTGAGAAAAGAGTAGGGTCGCCTGTCAAACCTCGTGGGGTTTTTCCCGGGTCCTCCAGTTTCCTCCCACGCGCAAGGGAATTATTGAAATAAAATTGAACCATAGGCTAGTACCGAAAATACCTAGTGTGTGTCGAGTGGACGTTAAAACCTATCTCTCTCTCTCTCTCTCTCTCTCTCTCTCTCCCCCCTCTCCTCTCTCTCTCCCCCAGTCAAACCCGTCGGACTGTTACCCCCCCAACCCAGGACGAAGTTGATATTCTTCTCACTATATTCTACAAGAACTATCAAGCCCAAGTCGTCAGCCTTGGCCGAGAAAGTTCATCGGGTTTTCCGGCGTGGCCCCTCATTATTGTCAGTGGTGCAGGGCAGGTGGTCTGACAAGCGACAGCGTATAGTCGTTCGGATGACACAAAAAACCGAGGCCCCGTTATTCCATATAACAGTAGGCCATAGCGCCGTTTTCTGGGCACAATCCCACCGCCCCCGAGCAGACTGTACGCATGACGTATACCCGTCTTCATTAGCCCAGTCGGAGTTAAGGAAAGTCTGTCTAGTCGCACGGGTGGGACAAAAGCACGAATCTCACTAGAGTGGTTTTCCCTTGTCAGTGGTGTAGGACGGAGGGCCTGACAAGGAAAAGTTTCCAGACGTTCGGATGGTACGAAAACCCGAAGTCCAATGCACACGTTGGCATACACCTAATAAAAAAACACCGGCAGTTGGAAATTGAAGCTGTAACCCCATCCCCCCCCCCCCCCACACACACACACTGCTAAAGACCCCTACGCGCAAGCAATTATGACAGGAACATGGTTTCGTCATTCGAATGGGACGAGAAGCCAAGTTACTCCTCTTCGGTTTTACCAACCACCAACATTTCTACATAATAATACACTGTCTGGGTTAAAGATGCTTTATGTAAGATTTGGATAAAGAGCTGGCCGTTTTTGCTATAATAGTTCATGACAATACTTATTTCAGATGTAATTTGCTTTAGATCTTGAAGCAGCCGAACGTGTTTTAAATGTGGTTATCTCCCTTATACTACAATCACAATCTACGTTGATTCACAACCACTTTTCACTGAGCAACGTTTCAACTAACTTCCCTAGACTTTATTGAGCGAGTGATACAACCATAAAATATGGTGTGACATTATATACACATAAAGAACAATATAGCAGCAACTTAGTTAAATAATGGCCCAAGTTGATTACATGGTTTACACTCCACTCAAATAGTAAATGCAGTGGGGCTGCACCACACATAATTTACACAAAAACAAATCACAAACTGAATGTCAACAGACAATAGCAATTCTGAGATCTTGGCAGCTCGGTATAAAATGTGTTTCAGTTTTGGCTTAACCTCCACTTGACACAAACTAGGTCATTTCGGGACTAACAAATGTTTCAATTTTATTTCAATAAATCGCTTGCATGTAGGGGTCTTTAGTAGCTACGAGCACGTAGCTAAAAAAACGTTGAGATATACTGATGTGCGGGTTTGGGAGATGAGGTTTCTTATTTAGGGCTTTTAGCAGTGAGAGGTAACTGCGATCCTACTCCCTGTCACGTAGACGTGGGGAACTGAAACCACACCACTTGACTCAATGACAGACCTTATGATCTAAAGTGCATGCATCAAACCATACGGTCACCCAAGTCTCCTTTATTTGAGATAGGTCTCACAGAATGTTATACGGAAGCCGCACACCCTTTTATTGAACTGAACGGGGATCCTGGAGCCCCTAAGTATGGCGTGATACCATTTCCTTCAGTGTTTAAACAGCTTTTGGATTGGGGTAATATATATTGAACAACCAAGTATGTAGATAAATTGAAAAACAACCAAATTGAACATGACTCAAGCATGTAGATAAATTGAATGACAAACGAGTATGTAGATAAATTGAACCTCACCTGAGCAGGTAGATAAATTGAAAAAAAACAACAAGTATGTAGATAAGTTAAATTTAATATGTAAGTATATTATGTAAACAATTGTGGAGTAATAAAGATATTATCAACAACAAGCCACAATAATTAAAGAATTTAAGGCACTTATACTACATCTTCATATTTACATTGTCACATTTAAATCAGGAAATATATATTTAACATTTAAACAACATTCCTGTTTTAACATTTTTAATTTTTATAAAAGAATATGTTCAAATCATGAAATACATTTACATATAAAACAAGATTATCTTTAAATCATGAAATAGAATTTTATCACAAGATTATTTTTAAATCATGAAATAGAATTTTATCACAAGATTATTTTTAAATCCTACGTTTAAACATAGCTATACAGAGATACAGGAAACAGACATTACAAAATTCTTTATCATAATTCTGGCCAATAATAAATAGGAATACACAGGTCACAATTCTATGGAATAGACAGAGAGAAATGGGGTTTCCACTTGACACAAAGTAGGTCATTTCGGGACTAAAATACGATACAATTTTATTTCAATAATTCTCTTGAACGTAGGGGTCTTAAAGCAGTAGGAGGAAACCGGAGGACCCAGAGAAAACCCACGAGGTTCAACAGGGGACCCTGCTCCTTGTCACGTACAAGTGGGGAATGAGAGACCTTAAGATTTCACACACAGACAACCCAACCCCCACTTTCTATGGAATACAATTATTGTTATAATTGCGCGACATTTTGACTATCATTGGTTGATAATGACTAGAGAAGCCTAGTCGAAATGTCGCTCAGTAATAAGCAGTAATTATATTCCATAAAATTGTGACCTGTATACGCCAGTTTAATTACTAAATGCCATTGAAACAATTTAATACATTTTGAGCAAAAATAGAAATTCCAGATAAAATTTATCCTTTAGCCTGGAACTGGAACCCCTTTTATGGTTATGAAATATTAAAAAAATTTAACTTTTCTCCAAGAAATGTTTTCCTGTCTTCTACATGTAAATGATATGGTAGATGAATACTAAAAATATAACATTTCAACGTCCTACACGTCTGCACAAAAACCCAGTCAAATTAATTTCCATGGGAAACATAAACATTCATTTCTAATTAGCAAAACTAACCACTACTACTAATAATAGGCTAATGTGAATACAAATGTCCATAAATATATCTAAAGTGGTTCCTGAGATATTTTTGGATAAAAAATTGGGACTCAATATTCCACCTCCCCTCCTATTACCTTACATAGATGCGGATAAAAAAATCCTGAATATTTAAGTGCACTGATTATAAAAAAACATTTAGAGAGAGAGAGAGAGAAATGGGGTTTAACTCGACACAAACTAGGTCATTTCAGGACTAACACATAATCTGCTTGCGCGTAGGGGTTTTTAGCAGTGGGAGGAAACCAGAGGACCCGGAGAAAACCCACGAGGTTGGACAGGCGACCCAACTCCTTGTCACGGACAACCGGGAATCGAAACCAAGCCAGCTGACTCAATGACAGACCGTTTGATTCGGCCATCCAATGTCCCTATATAACTATTTAAATGGTGTATACATGTATATACAATGTATAGTAAATGTTGTGTATTAATAATATGATTCTTTAAAGGTATTAAAGAACTTCTCAATACATGAGGATTGTGAGTCACTAAATTAACTTCGGTTAAAAGAAAATTATTAGGCTATGTTGTCCTGTACTTAGATGATTTGGCTACATTGTCCTGTACTTAAACACAAATTATTAGGCTACGTACTTAAATTATTAGGCTACATTGGCCTGTACTTAGATTATCTTTCAATGAGCATAACAAAATAAACAAAGATTATGATGGAATTTTAACATTGACTCGATGCCAGGCATTACTGAGAACACCCCTCAAGTTCCAGATACCCTCCACGTTATCAGGCTGACAATTATACGACACATCCACAGCTTTACAGATTAACTCAGCTTTACCGCCATGATTCGCTGGTAAAGGCACAGTTGCCTCCCATAACGTCCACGCCCATGTCTTATAAAGGCTTTGATTGGTTGGTTGTAGGTCTGCTGTCATCCATGTCTTGCCTCCATCTGCTGAAATGTCCACTCGTAAAATGGCTCGTCCTCCTCCGCTCCATGCGTAACCTTTCACCGTGACCTCCTCTGCTCCGTTTTCCAGTTCAGTTCCTTCTGCTGGATCACAAATCGCCGAAATTACAGGAAGTTGTTGAATGGCTTCCGATTTTTCAAAATCGACATTATGCCAGTCGACCGACGCGTTAAATCCTTTGTAATCTTTTCTCTGCCAATGACAGGTGCTCTCTTCGTTGCTGAGGTAAATATTATTCAGCCATTTTACCTGTCGTGCACCAACGACACCTGGGATGATCACTCGGACAGGGTAACCATGATCCCGAGGTAATTCCGTTCCGTTCATTTCATATGCCAGCAATATATCGTTCTTAAGTTGTCTGGCCAGTTCGATCGGCAGCGAGGCGCCGTACGGGGCTCCCTCAGGACCCTTGTCCATCCCTTCAAACACAATATGCTTATGGTTACATTTGTCTAAATCAATGCCTGCTTTATTCATAACATCGTTTAAAGTTGCACCTGCCCAGGATGCATTACTAATTGCCGCATTATTCCAGTTCAATCCTTTAACAGGCTTAATCTTCGTCATTTCGCTACGTCGATTTCCCGCGCACTGCACCACCGACGATGTATACATCTTGGGAAAATTCTTTTTCAATTCGTCGATGTTCAATTTCAGTTTATTTTTACCTTCAATGCCTATTTCCAACCGGTACGCTTTCATATCAACGACTGGAACAGGGAGGTGATTTCGGACAAAGAAGAGGTCCTTAGGGGTCAAGAATTGCTCCGTGAGTAAGAGAGATGGGGGTTCGGCATTAAACGGTTTTAGGGAACTTGGGATAAGAACTGGATTTCTCTTTGGTTCGTTGCCATAGGGATCGTTTTTATCTTTAACATCCGTTTTTTTAGGTGGGACAATATTCCCTATCCTGAATGTTTCTAATATTTCCAATATTTCCGTATTCTTGTGCACTGCATACAAATCCCAAAATGGTTCAATAGATCCACCCACTGCCATCATTATTTTCGAACCTCCCGGATGTTGCGATACGTAATCTGTGATATCATACACCCCACATTTGTACGTCACCCAAATCTTTGTATCTTTTGACTTGTGTTTAGCGACATCTTCGGCCGTGTACGTAGGCAAGTCTTTCCTTTGTTCACCTACATCAATCGTTGCTGCGGAGACAACATCTTGTTTCAGTTTCCAGTATAATCCCATACCTGAAAAATAATAAATTGATGAATTTATTACTCTTCGTCCAACGTGCACACCATGAGACCCCAGTTTGTTGTCCCATCCGATGTACATCAGTAAAACTAGAAATTCCTAGATCACAAGACATGAAATGAAATTTAACGTCCTACTGTTCTAATCTGAATGGGCTAATCAAGACAGGCATATGCCATACACTGTGATCTGAGAGAAATTGTGCCTGGACGACCTACTCTTAATTTGAATTCCAACGGTTATGAGATTTTGTTAAACGCAAATAGGTGAGAGGGAAAACAAACTATATAGAGAGTATCCAAGGCAGGTCTTCTGACAAAATACATGTACATTATATATTGTCACCAGTTATCCACTTTAGCAACACAACTTACAATCTTGGAGGAGGGGGGGGGGGGAGTCTGAAGTGTTTAATGTGTGCAAGTCCCAAAATGACCTAATTTGTGTGAGTGGAGGTTAAACCTCTCTCTCTCTCTCACATAGCCGTAGGAGCCGGGGGAAATGCCCCCCAAAAAATTTTTTTTCGGGCAATGAAAAATTTGACGACCTTTTTTTTCTATTAATGTTTAGAGAAAAAATATAACTAACTTATTTCTATGAGATCCACACTGCCCGAAATGTATTTGTTGTCTTTTTCTTGTCCACTGCATGCCCGAAAATATGCCCGAAGCTCTCTTATGATATGTATGCCCGAAAAAACGGTATTGATTTCGGGCAATTTTCTCTTATGCCCCCCTGTGGCTAAGTGGGTAAGACGCTAGCTCGCTAGCCTGGAGGTCAGGTGTTCGATCCCTGCATTGGCCGAGAAAGTTCATCCAGATTTTCCGGCGTGGTTCTCCCTTGTCAGTGATGCAGGACGGAGGGGCTGACAAGGAAAGCTGTCTAGTCGTTTGGATGGGACGAAAAACCGAGGTCCCGTGTACACATTGGCGTGCACGTAAAAGATCCCTTGGCAGTTGGAATTCGATATAAGAGCAGGCCGTAGTGCCGCTGTCCGGGCAAAATTTCCCTCATAGCACACTGTATGGCGTATGCCCGTCTTCATTAGCCCAGGTTAGGAGCAGAACAGTAGGACGTTAAACTCCATTTCATTTCATTTCATTTCTTATGCCCCCCTGAATTACTTTGAGCTCCTACGCCTATGCTCTCTCATTAGGTCATTTGCCCAGTCTGTGCAGAAAAGAAAGACTTTAAACCCCATTTCATTTCTCTCTCACTTACACTATTTTTTTTTTGTGTCACCATTTCAGCAGACACTCAACAATTTTTATTGCTGACAGTGATATATGTTATATCTGACCTATATTTTGGTATAGTACATATACATGTATCTGACCTATGATAATGGTAGCCTAGATATCTTTTATCTTACAACTACAATGTAGATTAATATTTCATCTCGAACTGATTTACAGATCAAAGCAAGTAGCCATGTACTAACGGACAGCCAGAATTTTTCACCTGTTTTCTCTCTCATTACAATAATAAGTGCAGGAGGACCGCACTACACACAAAACAAAATCTACAAGATAAACCTGCAGACTACATAGACATTGCAAGAAATAAACAACAAATATCAAATCAAGCGTCCACTGTGCTGTACAATCTCAAGCCTGTAATGATACAGACTTCATTCAAAATGAAAAAAAAAAAATGTTTACAAGAAAGATGTAAGAGAAATGGTGCGATTGATCTTGATGGTTGATCTTCGATGGTGGTCGAGAGTTCGACTAACATGGAACCATATTTTTTCTCTCATATTCAATAAGGGAGACAAATGAGGATTAACATCCACTAAACACAAACATAAGGTGCCATTTGTTTTTCTATATTTTGCTTGCATGTAGGGTTCTTTAGCAGTGGGTGGAAACTGAGAAACCCCACAAGGTTGGACAAATTTTAAATGCCAGCAGATCTTCTATGTGCAGGCAATTAGTACACAGGACTAAACACTGTTCTTTGCATCGCAAAAAGTTATCACTGCTGTTTCAGTATGGTGGCTCAGTGAAGAAGAAGCCGCCTCACTAATCAAGAGGCCCTGATTTCATTCCTTGCGTTGGCCAATCAGAAGTTATCTTAGGATTTCTAAGCATTGTTTCCGCATGTCAGTGATGCAGCACAGAGGGCCTGGCAATCAACAGTGAATAGTTGTTTAGATGGAAAGAAAAACAGAGGTCGCATGTAGACATTGACATGTAAATAAAAGACCCCCATGAGTAGCCCTTAATGCTGCTGTTCGGGTACAATTTACCCCATATCACACTATGACGTATGATGTCCATCTTCATTAGTCTGGTTGGTGCAGAAAAAGTAGCAGATTGAAATAGGGTTTAAAGTCCTTCTTTGCAGCACAGACTGGGCAAATGGTTAGTAAAAGAGAGAGAAATAGAGAGCTAGGGGTCTTTGACTGTGGGAGGAACCAGAGAAACCCCACAAGGTTGGGCGTTCCTTGTAAAACAAAAGAGAGAGAGAGAGAGAGAGAGAGAGAGAATTCAAGGTCCATTCTACATATGGCTTAATTTTATTTCGAGAAATCGTTTGCAATCAGTCTAACCACTGAGAGCACACTGCAGGACCCGGAGAAAACCCACAAGGTTGGGCAGGCGACTCTACACCTTGTCATGTACAATCGAAACCATGCCACTTGACTCAATGACAGACCTTGTTATCGACAATTCCTCCGCCCTTTATGGGTGCAACAGTTCAAATGCTGCCGTGCCAGTCCATGCAGCTATTAGCTAGATGACAATTAACAAAACAAGATCTAAATCTGACATTTTGAGAAGCATTCTTTATAATTTTCACAGTAAATTAAATACAAAAGAAAAGAAAAGAAAAACATGAATGTCATTTTGCATTACCTAACAGAGCGCCCACGCCTCCAACTCCAATCAGTGTATAATAATGATTTTTTGATGCCTCTTCCGAAGTGCTATGATCAGAGCTGTAATTTCTTGCTGTTCGAAATGGCGGTGCTTTACTTCTGTGTGCGTTGTCAGCGAAGTACAGCGTCCTCCATCCATTCTTCGAGATCGCTGCAGCACTTACACACCTATTTAAAAAATTAACATTAAGCATTTTCCTAGAACAAGCCACGCTGATACGGATTTCCGAGCACAACAGCCTTTGCAAGTTTTGTTGACACTCATCAAGGTCAAGGCCGCCACTTCCGCAGCTTTGCATTCATTCGGCTCACAACGTCTCATACTACCAATTTAGCACGAGTAACTCACGCACCATTACTCACATTATCAAACGCACGGATTGGCAAATTTTGTTAGTGTCTCACACATTACTTTCTTATCACTAAAAATATGTCCTTGAACAAGATGACAAGACCCCGAACAATATCGTAGCATCATTACAATATATATATATATATATATATATATATACATGTATATTTGGACTTGGAGTCAGTAGGCTTCTATATTTTTAAGGTCTATTACTGTCATTATCCCCAAATAAACCAAATTTCCTGTTCACTTCGCATTTTCAGCTACGATTTTTGAACAAGTAAACTTAAATGGTGTGCAATCTGATTAAAATACAGATCTATATTTCGTTTCGTTTCTTTCTTTTTTTTTATACTCTCGATGGCCTACAATACATGAAGATCTGACCAATTGTACTGGAAGGTCACATCAGGGGCCGTATGATCGGCTTTTAACCCTATGACAACAGACATTGATTAATTAATCAGCATTAACGTTTCTAGTGGTTTACCCACAGTTCCGTGCATCACACGCAGAGAGAGAGAGAGAGAAATGGGGTTTAACGTCCACTCGACACAAACTAGGTCATTTCGGGACTAACATATGGTTTAATTTTATTTACATAATTCACTTGCGCGTAGGGGTCTTTAGCAGTGGGAGGAAACCGGCGGACCCGGAGAAAACCCACGAGGTTGGACAGGCGACCCTACTCCTTGTCACGTACAACCGGGGATTCGAAACCACACCAGTCGACTCAATGACAGGCTTTATGATATAGCGCGCGCACGCTAACCATTCAGCCATCCAACCCCCCACACACACGCAAAGAAGTCGCTGTAACAGATGGTTTCATTGGCTAACCCCTCCCGCCATCCAGAACGTGGGTTTATATAACAACTCTTCCAGATCCTAGTGTAGTAAAGACAAAACTATAAAAAAAAATTAACGAAATATTATCTGTGTTTTAATCATATTGACTGTTGTGTATTTGTGTATTTTTTGGGGTGGGGGGTCACCGAAGAAATAGCAAATGGTTCGACGTAATTTCATTAATATTGTCCTATTTCCTTCTGGGTATCTTTGTTCAAAATTCAAGTATGAAAACGTTTCTCAAAGTAGTGTGTGGAGGGTAGGTGGAGGTGGGGGGGTGGGGGGTGTAAAACGTGGGGCTTTAGCGGAAATAGCTATAACTCTTCTGATAGGTAAGGGGGTTGGATGGCCGAATGGTTAGCACGTGCGCGCTGTATCATAAAGCCTGTCATTGAGTCAACTGGCGTGGTTTCAAATCCCCGGTTGTATGTGACAAGGAGTAGAGTCGCCTGTCCAACCTTGTGGGTTTTCTCCGCGTCCTCCGGTTTGCTCCCACTGCTAAAGACCCCTACACGCAAGCGAATTATTGAAATACAATTAAACCATATGTTATAAATAATTAACCAGCTTTTGCATGATCAGTGGGGAACCATTTGCTTCGTTTTTGCACGCACCGCAAAAGAAAAAATGAAATGAAATGGGGTTTAACATCCTACTGTTCTGCTCCGAACTGGGCTAATGAAGATGGGCATACGCCATACAGTGTGCTATGAGGGAAATATTGCCCGGGCAGCGGCACTACAGCCTACTCTTATATCGAATTCCAACTGTCAAGAGATTTTTTTACGTGCACACCAATGTTTACACGTGACCTCGGTTTTTCGTCGCATCCGAAGGACTAGACAACTGTCCTTGTCAGGCCCTCCGTCTTGCATCACTGACAAGTGGAACCGCGTCGGAAAATCTGGGAGAAAGAAAAAAAAAACATCAGAGAATACTCATTCGATATATAGTCTACATAATACAGACAGACAATACGCCGATATCAAAACAACGCCTTTGGGGATAATCAGTTGAACATCCCTCGAAAGGTACCCCCACCCTCCATGTTAATTGTTCCACTCCACATAAGTAGCCACAATAGTACCATTTTATTTCATCATTCATTAATAATTACAACAGTAAATGTATGTTAAACATATATTTTCCAACAAATATTTAAAATCTTTACAAAATAGAGGAAGTTTATAATTTATAAATATTCATCAAAATAAATCAAAAAGTATATATCAGTTTTGTTAAGACTTATGGATTTGACACAAAGGTTTGTTTTCGGGGTCATTATCTAAACGATAATCTGTCAACGGTATATCGTTTCACAACATCTTGTCATAAACGAGTCCACTCGACTAGGCCTTGTCACAAGAACGCCTCCACACGACCAGGCCTTGTTTGTAAGAACAGGACCACTTTACTAAACAATAATAATAATAATAAAATAAGTCCATTTATATCGCGCTAATTCCACATATAGTCGTGCTAGTGGCGCTACAAAACACACAATCACTCTTACAGATATTTCTCAAATAATTATGTTTTCAATCTGGATTTTAAGGAGTCTAATGATGGACTGGATCAAAGATTTTCACGTAGCGAGTTCCACAATGTCGTAAGTACGGGTCTACCAGATCTGGGCCCTGTTTCTCGAAATCTTAACTAAAGTTAAAATCCAAATTTTATTAGATACTTCAATTTTTATTGGCTAAGCACTAAAATCAATCTAGTATTATCCAATCAAATTACTTAAATTTGGATTTTATTTTAGTTAAACATTTCGTGAAACAGGCCCCTGGCCTTGAGTTCAAAAAGCATTTTCAGTTCAGTTAAGTTTAGAATTTACTCAACTTTCAATCACTGTTTATGAGAAATATCTTTATTTGAGCCAGAAAATCAAAACTCTGCACATAGTTTCTTATTTGATACATTTAAAAAACAAAAGTTTTATAAAAACCTATATTTTAGTTAAAATAACATAAGGCCAACAATTTTGAGTAATTTCTTAAATTAAGTCTGATAATGCTTTGGGAACTTGGGGCCTGCTCATGTCATAAGACAGTACGAGACCATAAAGTGTAGCTCCCCTGTTATTTTGACAATATAAGGCAATAATATTACTTTACAACATAAAATCACAAAATATAAATTTTATCGTAAATTACAACAATTAGTTTAAGGCTTTCACGACAGAACCATATTAAATATGGCGTGTAAAAAGTCGCTGATTAATCGCCATTTACTTTTTACGGGTAGGCCTACGGTTGAATCCAGAGTAAAATTTATCCAAATTAAGAAACCCAAATATCAAGGCTCGATTTGAATTCAATGGGATTATAACAAAGTCGGTCAAATGTTGCGAAATTTCCAATTCATCATATTGTTGTAACCAAAGAATGGAATTCAACCATTTTGATCTGATGATCTTTCTGAGATTAACTTTCACAATATTGTAGTTTGTTTGGGATTTAAAATCCCCCACAGCGGCTTTAAAAGGGAAAGTATATTATGTCGTATGTATCATATAATTGTTTTTGTAGTTCCCTGGTTTTTTTATCCGTTATTTATATAGATCTTATTCAGCCATTTGATATGTCGACCTCCCGCGTCACGAGGAATGATAGCTCGAGCAGGATAACCTTGCTCACGTGGTAAATCACTTCCGTTCTTCTCGTAGGCTATCACAATGTTGTTCTTGTGTTTTCTCGCGAGTTCCATGAGAACGACGGAAATATACGGAGATCCATCCTGTTTCTTATCCATCCCTTCAAACACGACCTGCTTATAACTACATTTATCCACGTCAATTCCTGCAGCTTTCAATACTTCATTTAATGACACGCCCGTCCAAGTAGCCGTAACGTTTGGCCCAACAGTTGAAATCTTGTTTTTGGTCGTTGAGCAGTGCACGTCAGCCTGGGTGCTCATCTTTGGAAAATTCTTTTTTAATTCATCCACGTTTAATTTCAGTTTATTTTTACCATCAACAGCTATTTCCAATTTGTAGGATTTCAAGTCGATCTCTGGGATGCGTGGAGGTTTTTGGTCTGTTTTTTCAGAAGGAATAATATTTCCAATTCTGAATTTTTCAATAATACCCAGTACTTCCGCCTTTTTATGCACCGGGTACCATTCAAAATACGGTTCGAGATTTCTTCCAACAGCCAAAAGTATTTTCGGGCCTCCCGGGTGTTTCGACACATAATCCGTGACGTCATACACGCCACATTTGTACGTCATCCAAATCTGTGCATCTTTTGTCTTGTGTTGAGCGACATCTTCGGTCGTATACGTCGGCAAATCCTTCCTATGTTCGCCAATGTCAATCTTTGCTGCGGTGACAACATCCTTCTTTAGCTTCCAGTATAACCCCATACCTGCAATGAAGGATCAGATAGTGTGAAACTCAGCCCCCAAAATGTCACGCCTGACTTGCACCCTGGTGTAAATAAGGCTTTCATGACATAGTCGTAAAGGTCGCTGTATAATGCACTGTATGGATATATTGATCCAGGACGTTAAATCCAATTTTATTTCATTTTGTTTTCGGGGGAATTAGATAATAAACGCCACAATACATATAGTTCTAAAATATGAGAATTTACAACGGGATCTACATAGTACATGTGTATTTACAACACTGGAGCAATTTATTGGTACAATGGGGTCATCTGACGACTACGTGGCGTGGCCTCATATCTGTGACGTAAGGTTCGGAACCAGGCTGTTGTGCATTGATAAAATTTGTCATCTAGAATTTTTATACCAAATAAACCTCCAAATCCGAAAGGTTTGCAGACGTTCAGATCTTTGCCAACTGGGGATGTGAATTTATAGAAATCGCCTACACCTTTATCTAATGGTTGCCGACCACCATACTCTCCCTTTCAGAGAACTGCGTGGTGAAATGGACTAAAAAAAAAAAAAAAAACATTATCAATACCTAACAAAACCCCTGCGGCTCCAATTCTGGACAGATCATAATTTTTTGATGACTTCTCTCCCGAGGCGGAAGACGCCGAAGTACTGCGATCAGAGCTGAAATGTCTTGTTGCTGTATATGGCTGTTCTTCATATTTGTGTACATTGTCACATAAGTACAGCGCTCCCCGACTCTTTCTGGGGATCCCTGCAGCATTCCAACACCGGGTCAACAACCGTATATTAAGCATGATTGTTGGCCAAGCCACGGATAAAATGGACTTAAACCAAGGTCCAGGCAGTAGACGGCCTTCACAGATAACGTTTTATTGAGACAAGTCAAGGTCATGAAAGCGTCTTTGTCTATTCCATACGGCTCATCATGAATATGGGAGGTTTACCGGATGATTACTTCTTTGACCCGAGTAACTCATGTCGGTAATTTATTATCAAATTATAGACATAGACGTCCAGTAGCTACTATTTTTAAAATTAAAAATAACTTAATAGAACACTCTAGAGTTTAAGACTACGAAGAACAGGAGCTATCACCCGAGTCTGATGACGTCCTTTTAGATCGGGAGGTGGGGGTTTTAGCGCATGCGCGTTGTAACATTAGGTCTGCTATTGAGTCAACTGGCGTGGTTTCGATTCCCCGGCTTAACCTGACAAGGAGAAGGGTCGTCTGTCAAACCTCTTGGGTTTTTTCCAAGTCCTCCGGTTTCTTCCCACTGCTAAAGACCCTTGCGCACAAGCGAATTATTGAAATAAAATTGAACCATATAATAGTCTCGAAATGACATAGTTTGTGTCGAGTGGACGTTAAACGCCATCCCCCCCTCCCCGCCCACCCATCGCATTTAGATCGTCGTATTCTAGGTAACGCCACAATCATCGTGAATCCAGCATAAAAGAGAATGCGAAATGAAATGAAATGGGGTTTAACGTCCTACTGTTCTGCGCCGACTGGGCTAATGAAGATGGGCTAGGAGGGAAATTTTGACCGGGCAATTCAACGTTATGCCAGTACGACGATATCCTAAAGTGTATGTGGGGCGGGCGGGGTGGGGGCATGGTGGCTTAGTGGGTAAGACGCTGACTCGCTATTAACTTGGAGGTCACGTGTTCGATCTCAGTGTTGACCGAGAAAGTCCAACGAATTTTTCCGGCGTGGTTTCCAATTGTCAGTGGTGCAGAACAGAGGGACAACGTATAGTCGTTCGGATGGGATGGAAAACCGAGGTCCTGTGTACAGATCGACGTGTACGTAAAAGACCCCTTGGCACTGGCAGTTGGAATTCAAAATTTCCCGCATGGCACACTGTATGGCGTATGCACACCTTCTTTAGCCAAGTTGGACCAGAACAGTAGGACGTTAAACCCCATTTCATTTCATGAAAAGGGCGCCTCTATAGATCGTACTATGATTTGAAAATCGCGGATCGCCGGCTAGACAGTACCCCAAAAAAAAAATCACCAATTGATGCGTTTTTTCTCATGCCGGCTTCACGGCGACTTTCCCGTATTATCTAGTAACACGACAATCTAAATGGACGCTATACCGGCCTCCATGGATCTGAAAATACCGAAATTTATTTTAAAATGATAAAATTGTCGATTTCTCCATGTCTGTTTCATCTACCAGAATACAACATGGCCGAGCTGACAGGATACTTGTCTCAGTATGATCTATCGTCCACACGCTGATCCTCCTCCTCGCACATCTCCCTCCCCTTTCCCCTCCATCTCTCCCTTTTACTGTGTCATTGCATTAGTATTGGACAATTACATTTAAATAGGAACACGAACACCTGCTACATTTTTATAATGTCTCCGTTAGTCAAAAAGTCGATGTATTTTACAACTTTATTGTTTATAAGTCAATGTATTTTACAACTTTATTTTCAATAGGATTCAGCGATTAAACCCCCACAATTAGCCTTTTAAAAACCTTTTCCGGAATACCCTGAAACTTTTCTATTTTGATACTTTATTGCGTCATTCAATACTTTATTACGTCATTCGAAGAATTATCAGAAGCGGACACGCCATTTAAAGACATATATGACCACGTAACGCGAGATTTTCTGGAGTTTTATCGTCTGTAATTTTACGACGTACTTTACGATCGCTTTGTGAGTTGAGATTATACAGTTTTAACAAAAAAAACTATTTATAATTAATTAGGCCAATCGAAGAAAAATCGGACAGGGAATTGTAATCACTTTTAGTCTCAATAAAAAGTCTTGAGAGGGTTTCAGTAATTGTACGATCGCTTTCTATACAACTTTTGTTCGACTAAAACTTGTTCCACGGTATTGTACGATGGTTTTCTATACAGCACTTCACCGACTAAACCTAATTGTAATTAAATAAACCTCAGTCTTTAAATTTTATTGGACTCGGTCGTCATTTAATTACCTTGAGTGAAAATAAAAGTAGCTTATCTGAGGTTTTAACGTGTGTGATTTTTAAAAACGAGCCGTCTGCGAAATCATTACAATGTTAACGAGAATGAGATTGGGCCCATTAACAACACACGGACATCATCCTCGTTAATACCGTGATGAGAGAGAGAGGGGGGGGGGATTGGGTTTAACGTCCACTCGACACAAACTAGGTCATTTCGGGACTAACATATGGTTTAATTTAATTTCAATGACCTGGTTTGTGTCGAGTGGACGCTAAGCCCCATTTCTCTCTCTCTATCTATTTCAAGGTTAAAAATATAGAGACATGCGCCCTTTAATTTGTACCTGTCACTGTCGGTGACAGGTGTCTGATTTGCAGGTGCCCGTTTTCTGTATATATAATTTTATACGTATTTAATTTATAATAAATCCTATATAGCTCTTTAATCAATTGCAATGTTAAATATGCCTTATGTAATTTAAGAGCTGGGTCCGGATTCAAAGGATATAAGTGTTTAGTCTTTTAGCGGTATTCAAAGGCCAGTTTAAGTGAGAAACATCCACTTAACTTTAAGAGACCTATGGGAGGTACCTTAAAGTTAAGTGAGATTATAAGGACTTCTTTAAACGGAGTATACAATGTAGTAGCAAGTCCGTAATGGCGATTTTAAAAGTTAGGGGACTGAGGTTGAAACAATGACAATCTCGCCGAGCGTAGCTGGCCTTAAACTTTTTTGTTCATCATCAGCTTTGATTTTGTATCGCCATAATAGTGTATAAGGTTACTACCACCACCGAGATGGTCAAGGGTTTTTTTTCGATCATTTGTCATGTTCGTATTTCTTAATCAGGTTTTCCACGACTGTCATATAATAAAGTTTGGTGCGTTAAATTCATTTATAAATTCGACATTGCTATGACATTCCATTGTAGATTTCAGCAAATATCTATACTGCCGCGAGGAACAAGGCATGTATATACATATTTGAAGTTTTGATAGCAACATGTTCTTGTCTTCGTTTGTATAAATTTACAAATATAATAATGATGACCGCTGAACGAAGCGTGCCACCAATAATTTACAATTAATGTCTCGTGATACTTATTGCGTTTTAATCGTTAGTATTAATTCAGGTATAAAATAACGCAATGTACCGTCTTGGTCAGGCCTTTGGCATCCTACATTGTAGGCACTGACATAATTTCTATGAATTTCTCAAATAATAGATCGGTAAACAACACCGAATGATTTGCCCTGCGTATTGGCAATATGTTGTTTTCTATTCGTTATTCATTGTAAAAATGATAAGGTTTACAATATCCATCATTATACTATTCGATAACTGCTATTGGAATCTATAGTTCTTGAAAACCATCTACGAAAACAACTGTTCCGACAACGAATGCGTACAATCATAATTTATCATAAATTATAGTCATACCATTTTCATGTGTAACAATATAATATTTCAATTTATTTTATGATCAGTAGTGGAATACCGCGTTTTATCCATGAAATAAAAGTGTTATTCCACTGGCTAGCAGTAGTCCATGTTGTTTTTACCTAAAATGATTGTAAAATCATAAAATAAATAGAACATTTGTCGTTTTGTCGTGAATAACATATTTTATTTCATCTCGAAGCAAGAAAACGTTTATATTTTCACTCATGCTACACATTCGTGAAAATATAAGTTTTCTTGCTTCTCGATGAAATAAAATATGTTATTCACTCTAAAAAGACAAATATCCTCTATATAATATGACACAACTAAGATTTTAACCATATTTCTGAAGCAATGGACTGATTAGGTCTAATCGAACGAAACACTGCGAGATGTGATTTTAATACAGTATAGTGGTGCTGTTAAGGGGACATAACTTGCGCGCGACGTGAGTAATTTTTAGTAGTGGAGGTTATTCCATAAGATAAATATTCACGCTTTTTGGCTAGTGTGGGTATTCCATATTTGAAGTGCGCAGTTAAGTTAGTCCCATAGCCAAGTATATGTAAAAAAAAAAGCCTTTGAATACCGATTTAAAGATACATTATGTAAGATTTAGATAAAGAACTGACCATTCTTGCTATAATAGCTCAAAAATAGATAATGAAAATATTGAAAATTTCATTCAAATTACTTCGTTCTGAGCCAAGTTATCACTGTTTGTAGTTTTGACAAGATGTGTGCATTGTGGTAACCAGGGCACTGGTATATTCGAGTCATAACTTAAAATTACTTTATTTTGAGTGAAGTTATCACTTTTTGAAGTTGTGTTTATTATCGTAGCAAAGTTACTGGTTAATCGAGACTCAGTCTTGATTCTCCTTTATTGAATTAAATCAATAAATGGCGGTCATATTTTAATCCGTCACCCGATGGTCTAGGGAATTGATTATAGGATTTTCATGTGAATAAATGTCTAAATAATTGTTTATATAAGATTTGAAGCCAAAATAAAAACCTCAAATAGGCAGATTTAGTCTTACATAATGTATCTTTAAAATGTTTACATTTTTCTTTGTAATTTGATATTTTAAAAATAATTTATAACTTCAAACAATTATAAATAATTTGTAACAGGAGGCAAATTTATATAAGCTTTCATATCCACTAATTAAATGGTGTCTTAATATATCATGTAAATATTTAATGAGTAAATAAATACATGAACAAGTCTTTACTCCTTATAGATTAACAGTTACACAATATACTGTCTCAGAATTTAGGCACGTTTAGGCTTTTAGAAGGTGAAACTTTCGTTAAAAAAACTAATAAATCTATTTTAAAAGTCAAATAAGCTGTTTAAATAAATATTTCATGTTTCTTTACAGTAATCTTTTAAAACTAGGAACTTGTTACCTTATCACAAAAACATAATTTTTAAGATTTTCTGTAAATAAATTTTAAAATAATATCGCCAAGAATCCGTGTTATTTCTCAA